AAATTTGCTGGATAGGTGGATGAAGAGATAGGGCATTATTCTTGAGGAGGAAGATGATGACCAAACCTTTCACGATATGTCAAGTTCATGACTGACAAAGGAGAAAACTGTAACCCAATGGGGTGAATTGCTTAGGTGGAGAAGTTCTTGTAGGTGCAACAAAGAAAGTTGATGATTGTTAGAAATAATATTATTTTATTATTATTAGAATAGTCTAGAATAGTCTAGATTGTGGGTTTGGCCCATTCGGTCATCCCATTAGGTCTTTTTAGTCTCTATAAATAGAGAGCCTCCTTGTACAGACTTACACACTTGAATATACAATATATTTCAGATTCAATTTGGTATCAGAGCTCTCGATCTGAGGGCTCTGCTTCCGCATATATATTTTTTTCCTTTCGTTGTACTGCCGTGCATCATACCGGCAAACCTTTTTACCGCCGTGCATCATACCGGCAACCTTTTTCAACCCTCCGAACATTGTTAGACCCTTTTTCGATCTCAGATCGTCATCCTCCTTCATTATTTGACCAGAAAACACTGCTCACATCGCAAGAAACACTGTTCCGTCACTGTTCATCACTGTTCCGGCCACCTTTCCGGCGAGAAACCACGCGATCAGGATCCCCTCACGCCGGCGACCATTTCTGTCCAAGACCCGTCCCAAACGGCCGCCGCACGCGCCTCCACGCGCCACCACAGCTGTCTGCGCGTGGGCCTCACGCGCCACCTCTCTCCGGCGCGTGTGCACTGTTCCGGCCACCTTTTCCGACCAAACCAAGGCAGACAGGCTCGCCTCTGCCTCCTCCTTCCAGATCCAGTGACCGATCGTTGTGGGTCTCTTCCGTTCGAGGGTTTCTAGTGCAAAAGTCGCTACTTTGTTCCTTTTTCGCGTAATTTTTACAGTTTTTTGGTTGTCTGATCGCTGTTCCTGATGGAAGGAACCAGTAAACATTCTTCCGGCATCATTTCAAGTGCTATTCCATCTATCACAACTCTGAAATTGACCGGATCTGCCACTTACAAGACCTGGTCTACCTCCGTTAAGATCTGGTTTACCGGTCAAGGCCATGACAAACATCTCACCACTAAGAAGACTGATATTTCCCAAGATCAGATGACTGAATGGGAGAAAGTTGATGCTCAGCTCCTCAGTATTCTTTGGCAATCCATTGATTCATCTCTTCTCAATATTTTCATTCCTTTTGAGACCTGCTATGATGTGTGGACGGAAGCCAAAAACCTCTACACCAATGATATTCAACAACTTTATTCCATTGTCTCCCAGATGATGGATTTGCGCAAATCACCCGAAGCTCGTATGGAAGTTTATGTTGGTAAGATTCGTTCTTTGATGCAGGAATTTTTGGCTATGTTACCTCATGCTGCGGATGCTACAGTGTACAGGACGCAAGTGGAGCGTCTCTTTACGGTTGTGACTCTCTCTGGTCTCCCTGACGGATTAGAAAGTGTTCGTGAGAACATTCTAACCAGTACTGCGATTCCCAGCATATCCCAGACCTTTCAGCGCCTTCTGAATCTTCAAGATAAGGTGGCTCCCGCACACGTCACAGCTACTGACTCTACTGCGCTCTTGTCTGATTCTGCTGCTTTAGTCTCTCGTGGTAATTGGAACAATGGTGGACGCGGTCGTGGTCGTGGCCGCGGACAAGGCGGTCGCGGGCCCATGACTTCATATGGCCCAGGCGGGCGCGGACAGACGATGTCGTATGGACAGGGTGGCCGAGGACAAAGGCCTCGGTGTAATTATTGCCAATATCTGGGCCACATCGAAGAACGTTGTTATAGAAAGTACCCTCACTTGAAGCCACCACATATGAACTTTGCTCAAACAGATGTTGTGCCGCCCTCTACCGGATCAGTGACTATTTCCGCTGCAGACTATAAGGCCCTTCTCCAGAAGAGTTCTTCTCAGCCACCTGCTCCAGATACTGGTAATCTTGTTGCTTGTTTTTCTCAATCGTCTCTTGGACCCTGGATAATAGACTCAGGTGCTACTGATCATCTTTGTGGTAATAAGGATCTTTTTACTTCCCTTACCTTTTCTAATAATCTTCCCTCTGTTACTCTTGCTGATGGCACCAAGGCTCCTGCTCGTGGCATTGGGCAAGCCAAACCAACTCCCTTATTGACTTTAACCTCTGTTTATTACATCCCTGGCATTCCTTTTAATTTAATTTCTGTTAGTCAATTGACCCATTCTCTTTCTTGCTCTATCACCTTTTCTAAACAGTCTTTTTCTATGCAGGATCCGAGTACGGGGAAGACGATTGGAGCGGGCGGTGAGTCACGAGGTCTCTACTATCTGCATGCACCCTCTGCTCCAGTTGCATGCTCTCTCACAGAGTCTCCTGAGCTTCTCCATAGCCGTCTGGGTCATCCAAGTCTCTCGAAGCTTCAGCATATGGTTCCTTTTTTGTCAGGTCTTAAGTCTTTGAATTGTCAGTCTTGTCAGCAGGGAAAGCATACTCGTTCTTCCTTTGCTAGTAGAGTCAATAAAAGAGCTGCTGCTCCCTTTTCTATTGTTCATTCTGATATTTGGGGTCCGAGTCGGACTATGTCAGTTTTGGGTTTTCAGTATTTTGTAACCTTTATTGATGATTTCTCCCGTTGCACTTGGGTTTATTTAATGAAAAATCGTTCTGAGTTATTTTCAATTTATCAAAAGTTTTGTGCAGAAATAAAAACTCAATTTGGTGCTTCTATTCAAATCTTGCGCAGTAATAATGCAAAAGAGTATGTGTCTCTTGAATTTTCTAAATTTTTGGATACACATGGGACGATACACCAGACTACTTGTCCCCACACTCCACAACAAAATGGAGTCGCTGAACGTAAAAATAGACATCTAGTTGAAACTGCACGTACTCTTCTCATTCATATGAACGTCCCACTTCGTTTTTGGGCAGATGCTATTATCACCTCATGTTTCCTTATCAACCGCATGCCCTCTTCTGTGCTAAATAATGATGTTCCCCACAGTATTTTGTTTTCCGGAGCACCTTCTTATCCTCTGCCTTTACATATTTTTGGCTGTACTTGTTTTGTTCATGATCTTACTCCAGGTAAAGACAAGTTGACATACAAGGCCTTCAAATGTATTTTCCTTGGGTATACCCGTTTTCAAAAAGGGTATCGTTTCTATTCACCTGATCTCAAGCGTTATATCGTTTCTGCTGATGTCACTTTCCTTGATCAGCAGCCTTTTCACTCTACTCCGTCTCCAGTGTCACAAGTTGATCAGGTCCTTCCTGTTCCTTTTCTTGACTTGTCTTTACCAGCTGCAGGTGCCCCTATTCCAGAGGAGCAACCAATTACCTCCATACCTGCAGATCGTCCTCTCCTCACATACCAGCGTCGTCAGCCTGCACCTCCTCCGACTTTGCCTCTTGATGACTCATCGCCTTTTCCCGTCGGCTCTTCTCCTCCGGATCCTCCATCAGAGACTCCTCCCATTGCCCTTCGGAAAGGTATTCGATCCACTCGAAATCCTCATCCCCTTTATTCTTTCTTGAGTTATGACAGACTTTCTTCACAACATTTTACTTTTGTTTCTAGTCTCTCTTCTGTTTCCATCCCTAAAGCCACAGGTGAAGCACTATCTCATCCAGGGTGGCGCCAGGCGATGCTTGATGAAATGCAGGCACTTCACTCTAATGGCACTTGGGATCTTGTTCGTGCTCCTCCCGGGAAGTCTGTTGTTGGTTGTCGATGGGTGTTCACAGTTAAAGTTGGTCCTGATGGCACTGTTGATCGCCTTAAAGCTCGCTTAGTGGCCAAGGGATACACACAGATCTTTGGTCTTGATTATGGGGATACCTTTTCTCCTGTTGCTAAGATGGCTTCTGTTCGCCTGTTTCTTGCCCTTGCCGCCATTCATCACTGGCCTCTTCTCCAACTTGATATTAAGAATGCTTTTCTACATGGTGACTTGCAGGAAGAAGTTTATATGGAGCAACCACCAGGTTTTGTTGCTCAGGGGGAGAATTCTGGAATGATATGTAAACTTCGGAAATCTTTATATGGCCTGAAGCAATCTCCTCGGGCCTGGTTTAGCCGCTTTAGTTCAGTTGTTGAATCCTTTGGCTTAATCAGAAGCAAAGCCGATCATTCTGTCTTTTACCGGCATAGCTCTTCTGGCCAGTGCGTTTAACTCCTGGTCTATGTTGATGACATTATCATTACAGGCAGTGATCAGATCGGGATTGATAAGTTGAAAGAGCATTTATTCAATCAATTTCAAACCAAAGATCTTGGCAGACTTCGATATTTCTTGGGGATCGAAGTTGCACAGTCTAGGCGGGGCATTTCCATCTGTAAGAGGAAGTATGCACTGGATATCCTAGATGAGACTGGAATGTTAGGCTGTAAACCCATTGATACACCTATGGACCCCAATGTTAAGTTATTACCAGGACAGGGGGAGCCACTGCCAGATCCTAGTCGCTACCGCCGACTAGTTGGAAAATTGAATTATCTTACTGTGACAAGGCCAGATATCTCCTTCGCAGTGAGTGTTGCAAGTCAATTTCTTGATTCTCCCTGTGACTCCCATTGGGATGCAGTTATTAGAATTCTCCGATATATTAAAAAGGCGCCAGGAAGAGGTTTATTATATACAAATAAAGGGAGTTCAGAGATCTCTAGTTATTCAGATGCTGACTGGGCATGTTCTCCTTCAGATAGACGATCCACCTCAGGGTATTGTGTTCTTTTCGGAGGAAATTTGATCTCTTGGAAGAGTAAGAAGCAAACTGTGGTCGCCAGATCCAGTGCGGAGGCAGAATATCGGGCAATGGCAAATGCAACCTGTGAGCTCATCTGGCTGAGACAATTGCTGAAGGAACTCCATCTCTGTGAACAAAGGCCTATGAAGCTCATTTGTGACAACCAAGCCGCTTTGCATATACCCTCTAACCTAGTCTTTCATGAGAGGACCAAGCATATAGAAATTGACTGTCATTTTGTTAGAGAAAAGATCCAGTCAAGGGAGATCGAGACAGCATTTGTCAATTCCATTGATCAACTTGCGGATGTATTCACTAAAGCTCTTAGAGGTCCCCGAATAGATCATATTTGTAACAAGCTGGGAGCTTTTGATATATACGCACCAGCTTGAGGGGGAGTGTTAGAAATAATATTATTTTATTATTATTAGAATAGTTTAGATTGTGGGCTTGGCCCATTAGGTCTTTTTAGTCTCTATAAATAGAGAGCCTCCTTGTACACACTTACACACTTGAATATACAATATATTTCAGATTCAATTATGATGAAGGTACAATTTGTCAGCATGGTGGGTTTTAATTCTTGACGAGGAAGACATCGGACTTAACCTGGGATGGGTTGATGATGCACAAATTTGGGGGAAGGAATTTGGGTAGCATGTATGAAAGGTTAAATAACCTATATGATAAATGACTAAAGTTAAGTGTAGGATGCGAATATACGATCACACAGAGGTCACAAAGGCTATTAATTTGGCCAAAGACATGGAGGTAGAGGTGCATGTTCTTGAACTTTCTTAGGATTTTAGGATCATGCTCTGATGTTGATTTTTCATCATAATGCAAATGTCTTGACTGAGATCCATTGGGGGCTGCCCCCCGGGCCTAACCAACCTGAGTCAAGGGCTGTCATCAATGGGCCAATTCTGGAATGCCATTGGCCCAATCAATTTTGCAGACAAGACTGTGTAGGGGTGAATAGAGCTCCAACACATACTATAACCAAATCCAGTGCCAATGTGCTCACCACAAAACAGGTGCTAGACAGCTACCATATGAATAATATATCAGAAGAAAGGCAGAAGGTAGATATTTTCAGTGTGGTTAACCATTTGGTCCTATGCATAAGTGCCCATAAAAAAATTAGGAGGGATACAATTCAACAAATGAATGAGGACAATGGGATTATGTTGGTACCTGGGCCTCACTGTTAGTGCTGTAATAATTGGCTAAATGAATAACAGAAGAATCTGGAATTTAAAAGGAACTTTCAATCTCTGAAATACCTCGATGTCACTATTATATTCATAATCAAAAGAAACTAACAACATCACACATTCAGTCAAGTGTGAATCAAACAGACTCTTACCCTCATACTATAGAAGGGAGACACATTAACAAGAAACAAAGAACAATAATCCAAAGACTCCTCAGATCACAGACCAGCAAGGCACTGTAATTACAGACTCCAAATGAAACAACAGATACAAAGAAATGACGAATTACAGACTCTTTACTTTACTGCTACTATTATTCATACGCTCATACTCCAACCACCCTCTACAACACAAACCTGTTTGCAGAGAATGCACTACCCCCTTTCTCCCAATTTGTTGAATGATTTTCCATCCTCTTTTTCGTTGTCTCTCTCTCCAATATAACTAACCACGATCACGTTACTCTCCATCTCCAATTACCCCTTCTCCATTCAGCATCTGCCAGCTGTCCAATTCTCCATATTGCATAACTAACTTCATTTTATTATTCATCTTTTGGATCCCCGTTTCTGCCTCTTGGTGATGGTTACTTGGGCTTGGGCCCAATTCCTCCTTTTGGACAATTTGAGCAGCATTCTGACTTGTCCCACTTGTCAACTCAATTTCATTTCTCTGGACTATTTCTTGTTGTTGGGTTGCAGCACCTTTAATTCTCTTCCTTGAATATTTACGAGGGAAAGGCTCTAGTGGTCCATCAATACCCCCCCCCCCCCTTTTACAAATACCTTGTCCCCAAGGTAGAAAGAAGGAAAATTGGCTTGTAAGTTGTCTAAATCCTCCCATGAATCTTCACAGCTTGGTAGGTCTGCCCACCTGACTAGCACCCCTAACTTGCCATTTATGAGCCTCCTGGCTGACAAGATTTCCTTTGGCTTAACTTGTAATTCTAACCGCTCAGTAAGTCCTTTGGGTAACTCTAGGATTGGCACATCTGGATGGACTGCTTTTTTTAATTGGGATATATGAAAAACAGAATGTAACTTAGAGTCCCCTGGCAACAAGAGTTGATATGCAACTGGTCCAATTTTCCTGATTATCTCAAATGGGCCATAAAATCTCGGATTTAGTTTCTGGTTCAGAAACTTTGCAAGGGAACGGTGCTTATAAGGTTGCATTTTCAAGTATACCCAGTCCCCTACTGCATAATCAACCTCCCTTCTTCCCTTATTAAACTGATGCTTTATTCTTTCCTGGGTCATACAAAGATTCTTCTTCATATCTTCCAAAGTTGCATCCCGAGCTTCAAACCACTTGTCTAGTGTATCAACGGTAATTCCTCCCTGATTTAATTTTATCACAGCGGGTGGGTCTCTTTCATAGACTATTTTAAAAGGAGTCATTTGCGTAGAGCGGTTATATGAAGTACTGAGCCAAAACTCAGCCCATGGGATCCATTTCACCCATCCTTTCGGGTGCCCA